ACAAACCTTTAAGGTAATAATTAATAATATAATTGATAATTTCTAAATATATAAATAAAATTATCACATTGTCCCAACAGACTGACGTCTTTACTGTCCGATTATCTAGACTTGCCTCTTTCAAGGATAGAATTAGTGTACATTCATGGGCTTAACATTCAGTAGAGCCTTGGAGCAAGGCTAAGGCAAAGGGCGCAGTAATGTTATTCAGGGTGCATTACGAGTTTGTTTTCGCCAGCGGTATGAGATCTCACAGAGGGCGCGTTTTTTATCTCTCGATCGAGTTCAGTGATAGTTCGTACCGTAGCTGTTACAATAAAGTGACGATCTTCCTTGGTGCTAGAAGAATGTAACTACTTGGCGGACCGTGTTATTCAATGTATTTGTGTCATACGTTCTTACGTTTACTTGTTTATCAAGGTTTGGGGAGGCAAAGAGGTTAAAGCATTCGCTCTTAACGTCGAAGACACGGGTTCGATTCCCCATACAATTTAAGTATCCCGTTGTCCCCTCGAAATGATGTTGCTGGAATATTTCTTGGATATTAGTCACGTAGAACTATACTTATTCAAAAGCGGAGATGCGTCTGTTCCCCATTCCTGGCCCACCTCTGGATTATATTTTTATATGTTTTCACACGCAACCTCACGTATGTGAAAGGGTGAACAAAGTATTTCACAATGTTACTGCTCAAAGGGGTCCACATTGGTCAAATGCGCCCTCGAGTGTTGCGTCCCTTAGTTATGCAAGAATCCGATGAACGTAAGTCCGAATCGCCTATTCGCCTGTTTATGATGCTGGTTTCTCAATACTCCGAGTTTCCTCAGAGTGATACACCACAGTGATCTGAAAAGTCCCATGGAGTTGCGTCCCTTAGTCGCGAAGGATCGGCTAATCGTGCGTTAAAATCATTTATTCACCTTGTTTATGACACAGGTGTGATAGCACCATCCCCATACCGTTAGGTTTCATCCGACTGAAAAAACCCGTCTTCTATTCTGCTGAATGTCCTCACACCCATGCCGTGAACGCCTGGACTATTGTCGTTTAAAAGATTCCTCACACTGTACCCAGCATGAACAGGGTACAAGCTATATACGGACCGCCTCCGTGGTGTAGTGGTTAGAGCGTCCGCCCGGAGAGCGGAAGGTCGCGGGTTCGATCCCCGACCGCGTCATACCAAAAGATGTTAAAATATGGTACTTGTTGGTCCCTGCCTGGCGCTCGGCATTAATGGGTACACCAAGGACTGGTCGGCTCGGAGTCAGTATAATGTGTCTGAGTGGGGTATTCATGCTTCACTGCGGCATGGTATCTCAGTGGGCTAGCACTATAAAACCAGCTTAAGTCTGGGCTAGTACAAGCAGCCGCACATACACATACACACGCATGCATGTCGTCATATGAGCGAAATATTCTCAAGCACGACGTTAAACCCAGTTTCACCTCACCTCACAAGCTATCTACTCATGGAAACGAATAAGGGAACACATGAAAGTACAAGTGTTCCTTTATTCTTTTCCAGGTTTCTTTATAACGTATGTATTGCACTGTGTGTGAAATTCTGGAAATAAATAAAGGAAAACTTGTACTTTCATGTGTTCCCTTATTTGTTTCCATGAGTATATTAGTGCAAGTTATCTGTCCGAGAATGCATGATGAAGAGTAAAACGAAGATGCTGGAACGTTATGTTGCCAGGAGCAACAGAAATACCAGCATCTAGAGATGAACTCTATCTTAGTTAAGAATGTAAATTATCTGCTATGTTTGTAAGACTGAAGAAAGTAACCAACCTCATTTGATTGATGCTGTTCGGTTGACGAAAATTAATCAACTGCGTTTTAACGGTGCGCTATGGTAAAAGGGGAGTAACTCTATGTTTCGTGTGTTGGTGGGGTTCCGACGTGTACCGCGTTAAAAATTATTTTTTTTAAAATGGAGGCAAAAGAAAATCTGCAAACAATCCAGTTTTGATGTCTAATGGAAGCGTATTACTGTCACAGTGTTATTTAAATTATTTCAATTTAAAATAAAAACAAGCAATATAATAAATAGATAATTTCATTGAACAAAACTTCGAAAATCTAAAAGAAGAGTTACTTTATTAAATGTTCTGACAGTACCTCATTATAGAACATATAATTAGGAGTAAGTGAGTCACCGAAACTGTTTTCATCACGTTTGTAAGCTTTGGACCAATATCGAAGTGGAAGTTAGCATGGCGTTAATACTTTCTGATGTTCGAGTAGATTCCATAACAACCCCTTTCATCCGTCTTTTTGCACATTTTACGTTTGGCCAAACCATGCTATAGTTGTTCTACACTAAATCACAAATCATAATTACATTTGTTACATTATAAAATTAAATTAGCTACATGTTCACATTTGTTAGATACATATTAGATAATCCTGCTTTTACACAGCTAAGTTTGTCGTAGTAGATACTTTAGTTAAATTAGTCTTTTTGAGATGAATGAATAGTAACGCTTTTACCATGTTTCACTGTTATATCATATACCTGCAAACATCCATGGAGTAATGCTTCCTTTTCCTTGCTTCACGATACGCTCAACATAAACAAGGGCATTACGCGTCTACACCTATGTAGTGCCTAAACATATTAAAAACTAAATCGAACGTGAGTGCTGCCACTGAATGGACTGGTACCATGCCTTCTCCTAGCGACTGTTGAAAGTGGCGATGAGCGCAAGCGCCTTACGACAGGCAAACCAGTCTACCCGAATGAATTCTCGGTACATAAAAGGGAGTTAACTTTTGTCAAAGGTAAATCGAAAGTGGGTTTCTTGGAATTACAAACGTATTTCCAGAACCAAACAAACCGCCATATTGAAGTCATCAGCACCGCTTGATCTGATCATAGTTTCAAACAGGAACAATGGCGACCTCTAAGACTAAGAAAGAAGGAACTCCGGGCCCTGACGACTCTGCGTTCCGGACACAGAGTGAGCTGAGTGACGTGGTGATCGTTGTCGAAGGGAGGCCTCTACACGTGAATAGAAGTGTTCTATCTCACATATCGCCTGTATTCCTGAAGATGTTCAACGGGGAATGGAAAGGGAAGGCTGAAGTTCCTTTAGCAGACAAAAAGTACGATCACTTTGTGGAGCTACTGTTGTGTGCTTACCCGCCACAGTGCAAACTCATCTCTATGGAAACACTTGATGTGGTTCTACCGCTGGCTGACGAATACGGGATCGAGTCTATAAAACTGCGGTGTGAGGAGTTTGTCCTCGCACGCCTCCAGCACAGAGATATGGAAGTCAACAATCCACCCACCAAAGAGTTGGTTCACTTCCTTTACCTGGCGGATAAGTACAAACTGAAGAAACTTTTAGAAGAAACTGTGGAGAAGGTGATTCACCGATCCTATAACGGGAAAGACTGTGTTAAAATGTTGAACGAATTTGGATTGCTGTCAGTAGAAGTTAAATTTAGGGTTACATCTGAAAGACTGTGTCTAATTAATCGTTGAGTCGCCACTGATGACTTATTTTTCATTAGCTGGAAACAAGCCTCCCTGTCTTAAGAAGGCCATGGCCCACTTTATCTTTGATCCAATAGTACAATAAATAGTAGTTTAGAGAAGCTGGAACAGAACCTTGAAAGAAGCCTCCAGTTTTTTACGAGCCTCCTGCTAATAATGGCTGTATCCCACCCGATGACTCTGATCAAACAACACAGGATGTTGGTGATTATGTTCGACTGATTGTGAACAAATGTTTTTACGGCTGTCAATTTGTGAAATACAAGTCCTGTGTTCCTTCGATTGTACACAATTCATAACGTATAATTGAATACAATTTCAGCATTGTGTCGTGTTTATGTCAACATGTAACTCAAGAAAATATTATGGAGTTCCCAAGCCCGTCAACAGTCCAAGGGAGACAACTGTAACTGACCCGTGTATGCAATATGGATTGATTTACATGTTGTACATTCATCCCGATCATTTACTTCCCAGCACAGCGCGTCACAATCATGCAAATACAGATAGTTCGCCATTGACTTGTTAAAGTATTCATTATTATTAATACTTTCGTTAAATAAGCTGATCGATGCGCAGTACATCTGACAAGTGAAATATTGAAAAAGAAGTTCCATATTTGTTGCCGCATACAAGTTTCTATGAAGTGAATAGAAAATAAAGTACAAAGAATAGATGTCTAGACTAGAAAGTGTAATCCGAAGTATAACGAATGTTACATTTGATTCCTTTCTAAGATGGCGCGGGGCATAGCCGTGGAGCCGGGGTACACACGTACGTAATCTACGTTACCAGTTGTCATGCTTAAAGGTCACATGCAACGTAAAACACAACTTTGCAGATTCTGATACCTTTCGGTATGGACTTACCGAAACAAATCGTCAAAAATGCAAATTCAACTTATAAAGTTGAAAAATAACGCCATGAAAAAAACCGCGCGAAATCGGAGTTTAAACGTTTCACTAATTTCCCCGCGAAAAGTCATAGCACGTGCATGTGCGCAGTGAAATAGGTTCGCGCAGCTTGGAAGCGGGTTGTCCGGTGAATACTCGGTGAAGGCTTTGGTGTGAGCTATTTTTCTAATGTTTTGTTGATATCTCACAGGCGCGAGCTTTTTATATGTTATGACAGTAAATTAACTGTTTATATAATTTCATTTGTCTATTTCACCACACGTTCTTCTTACCGAGTCACTTTCTCAGTTCGATACTTAAAGGTCACATGCAACGTAAAACACAACTTTGCAGATTCTGATACCTTTCGGTATGGACTTACCGAAACAAAGCGTCAAAAATGCAAATTCAACTTATAAAGTTGAAAAATAACGCGATGAAAAAAACCGCGCGAAATCGGAGTTCAAACGTTTCACTAATTTTCCCCAGACTTTTCTGGGGAATACGGGTTTCAACAGCTGGGCTGCGCTCATAGCACGTGCGCAGTGAAATGGGTTCGCGCAACTTGGAAGTGGGCTGTCTGGTGAATACTCGGTGAAGGCTTTGGTGTGAGCTATTTTCATAATGTTTTGTTGATATCTCACAGGCGCGAGCTTTTTGTATGTTATGACAGTAAATAAACTGTTTATATAATTTCATTTGTCTATTTCACCACACGTTCTTCTTACCGAGTCACATTCTCAGTTCGATACTTAAAAGCAATGTCATTATTTAGAGTTGACACAATTTCTAACTGTGATATAGATATGTCGTTGTCACAGACAAAACTCAATGTCTTGTTTTATTGACACCTGTGTGTCTGCCTGCCTGTCTGCTAATGACAATATTCAATACGCAACTGCGATCACTGACCACATGCAATTTGAACTTAACACCTATCAGGCTATACACCATAAACAAAACGCATTGATTTATGGCCCGAGTTCGGTCTCTGTCACATTATGTAATTACACAGACAGGCAGGTGTGATACTTGAACACATGACATGTTATGATGTCTGTTGATTGCAAAATGTTATACACAAAAAATGAGCATGTATTTACGAAACCCAACTTTCTATATATACACACACAATGATCCGTGAAGGCGGCATCTGCTAATGAACCAGCCGTTACACTTGAGTGCACACCCACTCGCTCTGACTGGGTTCGGTATCCCGGCTGCTTCGTTTCGAGGTAAACCCAAGTACAAAATATTGCACTTTTGATTAGCGATTATACGCTTATAATTTTGTTTATTTGTTTTTTCATAATCAGCAATGCATATTATATGTCATGAAGAAGTGATAATTGTGTTTTAATTATGTTTGATTTTTTGGTTGCATGTGACCTTTAAAAGCAATGTCATTATTTAGCGTTGACAGAATTTCTAACTGTGATATAGATATGTCGTTGTCACAGACAAAACTCAATGTCTTGTTTTATTGACATCTATGTGTCTGCCTGCCTGTCTGCTAATGACAATATTCAATACACAGCTGCTATCACTGACCACATGCAGTTTTAACTTAACACCAATCAGGCTATACACCATAAACAAAATGCATTGATTTATGGCCCGAGTTCGGTCTCTGTCACATTATGTAATTACACAGACAGGCAGGTGTGATACTTGAACACATGACGTGTTATGATGTCTGTTGATTGCAAAATGTAATACACAAAAAATGAGCATGTATTTACAAAACCCAACATCTCTATGTATACACACACAATAATATTTAACGTCACATCGGCAATATTTCAGCCATATAGTGACGACAAAAAGTTATGTACTAAGAATAAACATATGTATACTTATTTAAAAACCCGCCAGCGAAGGACAGTATAACGACTAGAATATCACAAATGGATTAAAACTAGTTTGAGTTCAGTGTAAAATGTTAAGTCATTTCAAAATAACACGGGTCGGTGGGGTAGCCTAGTGGTTAAAGCTTTCGCTCGTCACGCTGAAGACCCGGGTTCGATTCCCCACATGGGCACAATGTGTGAATCCCATTTCTGGTGTCCCCCGCCTTGATATTGCTGGAATATTGCTAAAAGCCAACAACTGAAGGTAGATCACCATGCTAGGGACCATGGGGACTTATAGTACATTTGCTTCCTACATGGATCCTAGCTGGATTTACACCTTTCCCTCAGCCGCTGGCAATGGCAGGGAATATATTCTTTAAATATTCTACGTTTAAAAACCATGGTTGAGCTAAATTGACTTTGAAAGTTTGACCCCTTTTGAGGATACAGCCACTAACAATCGCAGTTTGCTAATTTATACTACCATTGATAATAAAATGACATTTATCTATTTATAAAACATATTGTTCAAAATTTATCTAATAATTCAATTTCTTTTAAAAAATCGATAATTAAATGATAATTTACATTATTAAAAAAGATCCTTCATTGTTTTGACACTGAAATATTTATCCCTTGTGATGGAAAAATCAATACAGCAGGACTGTGATTCCCTCATCACAATGGGTGCAAAATGGAGGATCCTCACCTTCAAGTAAATACTCATGTGTGTATCGAAAATGGCCAATACGGCATCGTCTTAGACCTCTTCAAATCTGGACTGACAACCCAAGTAGGTGTAACCGATAGTTGGTTTTATTGCATGTAATATATTGATACCTACTTGGGTGTCCTACTTCTTCTGCATAAGATCCCGGATGTAACTTCTTATAACTGGTTTATAATCACTGTAAGGTATCAGAAGTGGTGTCACAGATTTGTTGAGAGCGGCCTTTGCAGCAGAATCGGCCACTGTGTTACCAGTGATTCCAACATGGCTGGGCAACCAACAAAAGACGATGTCATATTGGCCAGTAGCAAGATCATTTTGCAATTCAAGTATTTCAATTAAAAGTGGATGTTTATGTGACATATTGTTAATAGCCTGAAGGCAAGAAAGAGAATCTGAAAGAAAATGTATTGTTTATATTTGGATTGTTTATTGATATATATACTTAATAGCAGATAAAATGGCGTTTGCTTCGGCTGTAAAGATGGAGCTGTTGTTTGGCAATCTAGAAGAAACTGTTCTGGATCCAATGACAGTGGCACCATCCTTGGATCCATCTGTAAAGATAGAATTATATACTCAGCAGCAAAAGAAACGTCAGTACGAATTCAAAATTAGATAGGCACTGTAATCAAATCATTACAGAAATAAACATAATAAGCGGATCAAAACCATTTTTTGTGTACAATATCTTAACTCAGCACAATATCAAGACATTACGTGAACGTTTGTAGTCCACCACGAGCGGCAATAACTGCAGCACAGCTTCTATGCATGGAGTGCACCAATCGATTGATGAAGGCCATTGGCACCTGGAACTACACTCTGAGAAAGGCTTGGCGCAATAAATCGGCTGTGCTCGGCCTTGGTATGACATTACTCCTTTGAATTTCATACCAAAGATGTTCAGTTGGGTTTAAATCAGGACTAAGGGCTAACCACTGCATAATGTTGACACCGTTGTCCTGTAGGAAGTCCCGTGTAGCTCTGGCAGTAATGGCCAGGGCTTTATCATGCTGGAATATGTTGTTCCGGTGACGTGCGAAATGTGGTATGACGTGGGGTCTGAGAGGTCTGAGTAACGCTGGCCACGTCGTCGCCATATTCTTGTTCTGCCATCTGCAGTTGATACGCAGTACCGACTCTCATCTGTGATCAGAACAGTTCTCCATTGGCTGTATCGCCAGTTTTGGTGTTGTTGACCTGGAAGTGATGGCGACGGTTTGTGCAGTGTGGCTAGCTTCAAGTCTTCCTAGCGCCTTGTTCCTCTGAGCTGTCGTGAGTCGCGGCATCCTGCTGACGTTGTAATGTGAATGTTTCAACCAAATTTTGTTAATGTAAGATCTACATGCGGTCTTACAGCCTGTCGATAGGTTATGTTCTAAAAGACCCAAGACAAAGTCCAAGACCTTGATGGTGGACAGAATCTAAAAGTTTAAGGTTGCTTTTGCAGTCTCCACCTTAAACGATCGAACCATAATCGAGTTTAGAACGAATTAGTGCTCTATACAAGTGAAGGAGGGTCAACTGATCACCTCCCAACTTAGCATTGGAGACGACTTTTAAGAGATTTAATGCCTTCAGGCATTTTGCCCTAAGATATTTGATATGAGGTAGAAACGTAAGATGATGGTCAAATATGATACCCAAAAATGTAGCTTTCTTAACTACTTTAATAGGGTCCTTATGTGGTTTTTATTTACGACAGAAATGGATGCAGTTAGTTTTAGATTTAGAAAACTTAAAGCCATTTCGTTCTCATCAATCATTAATTTTATTGAGACAGAGCTGCAACGGTCTCTCAATCGTGTGCATATTTTTACTCTGACATGATACGTTAAAATCATTAACAAATAATGAACTATCAACAGAGTCATTTAACACTTTCGATAAACCATTTATTTTGATACTGAACAACGTTACATATAATATGCTACCATGTGGGACACCTCGATCTTGTTCGTAAAATTCAGACAAGGCGGAACCCACACGTACCTGGAAATGTCGATCTGTTAAAAACTGTGATATGAAATTAGCTAGGCAAACGGCCTCTCAGACCCATTTTATGAAGATCTTTCAAAATTCCATGTTTCCAGGTTGTATCATATGCTTTTTCGAGATAAAAGATATATGGATACAGCATGTTGTTTATTGACGATAGCATTCTTAACAAACGTTTCTAATCTAACTAAATGGTCAATGGTACTTCTGTTTTTCCCAAACCCACACTGGATATTCGTAATAAGATTATTTGTTTCTAAGTACCATATTAGTCTGTTATTGACCATTCTTTCCATGGTCTTACAAACACAACTAGTAAGCGATATTGGCCTATAGTTGGAACGATCAGTATGATCACGACCTGGTTTTGGAATTGGAATAATAACAGCATTCCGCCACGATGAAGGAAAATTACCCGTTGTCCATATTTGATCCAAAATATTAACAAGGTCTCTAAACAGGAATCAGGTACATGTTTAAGTAACTGATAATGAATACTATCAGCACCCGTGGCAGTATCATGAGGTTTCCCTTAGGCAGTATGTAGCTCATGAATGGAGAAAACCTCATAGTAGTCCTCACCTTTATCAGATGCAGAATTGATTTTAATTTTATCAGCTTGTTGATTACATTTTTGAAATTTTGGTGTATAATTTGATAAGGAGGAATGTTGAGCAAAAGTAATTTATTAGCTATGTCAGACTTATCAGTTAGTATTGTGTTCCCATTCTTTAGGCGATGAACACCAGAGTTTGTTCCTTTACCCTTTGCACAATATTCCAGATTTTAGACATAGGTGTTCGTGAATTAATTTTTGAAACATAGTTTCGCCAAGATTTGACGTTAATTTTGCTTAAGGGTACGACGTGCCTTCGCATTTAGTATTTTAAATTTATTTTAGTTATGGACAGTTGGGTGATGGCGGAAATATTTCTCTGCCTTTTTTCCTCGCTTTTCTAGCATTTTTACAGTCTGCATTAAACCATTACTTCCGTACATGTGGAGTTGTAGAGGAATTTGGTATACACTCATCAGCTATTACATTTAAAACGTCAGAAAACATCTGAATGGGATCAGCAATATCACTGAAACGTTCGGGTCTTAGTTTAGATGTGCATAAAGTTTGAAATGAGGACCAGTCTGCCTTGGAAAAAAAATCATCTTGTATAAGATGGAGAATCAGTTGGATAAGTTTCTGATAGTATCGTTGGAAAGTGATCACTTCCACAGAGGTCATTGTGGACTGACCAATCAAATTCATTAAGTAGAGTGGACTCTGCAAGAGACAAATCCAGAGAAGAGTAGGTGCCGGTTGCAGGATGCAGATAGGTGCTTGAATCATCATTGTATATACACAGGTCGTTATTGGAGATAAAATCTTCCAATATTTTAGTATTTGTTATACCACCCCAGAGTGGATAATGGCCATTGAGATCACCGTTATAATGCGGGGTTTAGGAAGTTGGTCATAGAGCTTGAAGATCAGCCTGCTGGAGTGTTGAAGAAGGCGGAATATATAAAGAGCATATTGTAAAGGCAACATGAAGAGTGAGTCTCACTGCAGCGGCTTGAAGATAAGATAAGATAAGACTTTATTATCCACGTAGGAAATTTGGTTTACATTCATAAGAACTCTGGAGCATTTAACGATCACAAAATATTGCATTTACAGTATTAAATCACAATAGTAATATTAAGATTGACAACAGCAATGTACATTATTAACATAAGTACTAAACATTTAAAAGTTAGCTTCATGCACATAAGGGCAATGTACGCAATAAAAAAGTGAAAACATGTGAGGAGTAAAATGTTAAGACTTATTAAGAAGTTTGATGCTGCATGGTACAAATTATTTGGAGGGTCTATTACGTTTGTAAAGATGAATTTGCGGCGGCCGGAAGGAAGTAGTTCAAAATGATTATGTAAAAGGTGGGACATATCATCCAGAATTGCAGATGCTTTCTTTTCAACCCGGGACTCATATAGGGCAGTTAAGTTATGGAGGGGAATGCCGCAAACTTTACTAGAAAGTTTCACAATTGAGTTGATTTTGTTTTTTAGCTTCAGGGGAAGATTACCGTACCATGCTTGTAAACACAATGTGGTAACACTTTGGATAAAAGTTTGATAAAATAGGTTTAACATGACTTGGTCAACATTAAAAGAACGCAGATTGCGGAGAAAATATAGCCTTTGTTGACCTTTACAGTATAAGGCGTGAGTATTGGCTTTCAAAGACAGTTTATTGTCGAGTATAGTTCCCAGATATTTGTACTCCTCTACCACTTGCACTTCCTCCCCGTCGATGAGTACTGGTTCTAGAAGTTGTTTACTAGTACGAAAGTCTATAATCATTTCGTTTGTCTTTACAACAGGAAGTGAATCTATCAATTTCGTTTCTGTAATCTAGTTCAGAGCTGTTGAGGAGTCCTGTTAATGCGGCATCGTCTGCGAACTTGAATATGAGGGAATTGAGTTTATCACTCATACACTATGATACAGTCATTTGTTAGATTAGTTGATTAGATTATATTAGTTGAAAGTGTTACAGGGCTGTGGATTACATTCTACCGAACAAGGATTGAAGATCCTCCAGTGGCCCTATCACCCGGACGTGAGAAATAATGATATGCATTGAACTGAAGGAAGATTAAAGTATCTTTCAGATACGTTTTCTGCAGACAGAATGCTGACCGTACCAGATCTTTGACTAATAGATGTAACTCATTAAATGCGATCCGTTTGATGTTTTTAACTTCTCCTGCTGAAATTGCAAAGGGATTTAGTTTTAATGGAGTCTTGTCGAGAGTCTCGATAACCAAAAATCGTGGCCAATAATCGATAGACATGGAAGGTCGATGTTGATCATCGTTTTCAAGTGGACGTTTGTTTGTTTTGTTAGGAGTTTGATAATCCATGGTTGTTGTTATATTGGTTCGTCATCCAAGCTCCCCACCCACCATGGAGTATCATATAGACAATGCTAATAACAAGTGGATTTCCGACTTGCAGCACCAAGGATACTTGGATAATATACTCCAGCAGAAGAATTAAAAATACTTAATCCACCTGATTGGCCCATGAGCCACCGCCTTCTGGGCATAAGATTCTAGGCAATTTATAGAATGAAAGTTCTAATTTGAATTTCGGAGGAAATATCATTAAGCCAAGACTTTTGATAGTGACATCTAACAATATAATATATTTGTGCAGGACAATAGACATGCACAGGGCTTGGCATGACCACCCGATTGATTGAACCGGGCCCATTCAACCACCCGTCTAGGTGAAGTAAGGGGCGAAGTGGTGTGTTGGACAAAGGAACACTGTTCCTGGAACCAGTGCCCTCAACCACCAGACTCCCTTTCTGCAACGACACAGGGGCGCAACCCACGGCAAACAGGTTGCCCAATTCAGTCGCTCCTTGCGACCAGCAATGGGGTGCTATGGACTATTTGACCCCGGGTACACACGGGGGTTGAAGAGCTCTTAGCGTTACCCAACCTCCACCACGAGGAGGTGGCTCTTCATGGGTGCCACTGAAATATGAATGTCCTGTGCGCGATTGATACAGGTAAACAGAAAGGGAATTCTCTCGACTATAAATGGGCTTCGGCGACAGAAAGTAGTAGTGAAAGTAGTCCCCTTTGATGGGCGTGGCTTATCAATTTTCATTCATTGAGAAATGAATGCAATAACCCGTGACCAGTTCAGCCAATCAGAATGCAGGACTTACAATGAACACAGCGAAAATGTCATTATATATAGCTCAGTGAACCAAACAAATACAGTCAGCAGCTGTGCCGAATGAACACTATGTTGCAAACATTATATTTTAAATATTAATTTAACGAACAAAGAATTTGCCGCCACGCAACATCCAAATGCATGTGTAACTTGCTCCATTTGAAGCTGGCAATATTGACGCATACAGTGCAGGAATGCAAGCAAACCAGTTTACCCGAATGAACTGTCCGTAAATAAAACTTAACTTTTGTTGCGCACAAAAGGTAAATCGAAAGTGGGTTTCTAGGAATTACAAACATATTTCCCGCACCAAACAAACCGCCATATTGCAGTCATCAGCACCGCTTGATCTGATCATAGTTTCAAACAGGAACAATGGCGACCTCTTGCACTAAGAAAGAAGGAACTCCGGGCCCTGACGACTCTGCGTTCCGGACACAGAGTGAGCTGAGTGACGTGGTGATCGTTGTCGAAGGAAGGCCACTACACGTGAATAGAAGTGTTCTATCTCTCATATCGCCTGTATTCCTGAAGATGTTCAACGGGGAATGGAAAGGGAAGGCTGAAGTTCCTTTAGCAGACAAAAAGTACGATCACTTTGTGGAGCTACTGCTGTGTGTCTACCCGCCACATGGCAAACTCATCTCTATGGAAACGCTTGATGTGGTTCTACCACTGGCTGACGAATACGGGATCGAGTCTCTCAAGCTGCGGTGTGAGGCTTTTGTCCTCGCACGTTTCCAGCACAGAATTACGAAGTTCAACAATCCACCCACCAAAGAGTTGGTTCACTTCCTTTACCTGGCGGATAAGTACAAACTGAAGACACTTTTAGAAGAATCTGTGGAGAAGGTGATTCTCCGACCATATGACGGGAAAGGCGGTGTTAAAATGTTGAACGAATTTGGATTGCTGTCAGTAGAAGTTAAATATAGGATTACATCTGAAAGACTGTGTCTGCTTGAGAAACAACAGTGTCCTTTTTCTTTATAAGGTGTAAACAAGGCGGCGGCTGCCTGTCTTAAGAAGGCCATGGCTCACTTTATCTTCGATCCAATAGTACAATAAATAATAGTTTACAGAACCTGGAACAGAACCTTCGAAGAAGCCTCCATTTTGTACGAGCCTCCAGCTGAAAATGGCGATATCCCTCCAGAGGACTCTGATCAAACACCACAGGATGTATATTCCTAGTGCAACAGACACTACTCGTGGTAACCAAATAGTTGATTATGTTCGACTGATTGTGGACAAATGTATGAACGGCTGTCAATTAGGAAAAGCAAGATTTTATGGATGTCAACTTCTTTATTATGAATAACACGACGTTTCAGAGTGTATGCTTGCTCCTTCATCAGGGGATGAAGGAGCAAGCATACATTCCGAAAAGTCGTGTTATTCACAATAAAGAAGTTGACATCCATAAAATCTTGCTTTTCCTATGTATTCCACCTCTAAATGACCTTCAAAGATTTGGGCTGTCAGTTAGTGAAATACGGTGAAATAGAAGTCCTTTCCAGCAGTGTTCCTTCGATTGTCGATTGTAACAGAATTCGTAACTTATCCATACATAAATAAATTTTTAACGTTGCTTTGTGTTAATTCCAATATGCAACACAAGATTATATGAGGGGGTTTCCTATTCCGTCACCAGTCCAAGGGAGACAACTGTAACTAACCCGTGTATGCGGTCCGCGTATGTTTTGATTTTCACGTTGCACTTTAGCACAGTGCACCACAATCATGCAAATACAGATAGTTCGTCGTTGACTTGCTAAAGTATTCATTGATAATACTTTCGTTAAACAGATTGTTTAATCCCAAGTGTAGCATATGTTCCCACAGGGGGTAAGCCCTGTCTGTGCTCAACCATCAACCGATGTGTTCGTCGTCATCAACTACCATTTCCTCGATAGACAATCGATCCCGGTAGAGAGTGAGTCCCAAACTTTGTAAGATTTTGATATTTCCAAGTAGCAAATGTTTATGAAATCGACTTGTCTTATAAGCTGAATACTCATGGATTATAACCCCCATATCATTTGGTCATGACACGTTATATTTTGTTTACGTTTGAAGCATTTCGGCGCGAATCAGAAAAGCCAAGAAGTCGACTACTACTTGGAAATATCAAAATCTTACGAAGTTTTGGTCTCACTCTCTACCGGGATCGACTGTCTATCGAGGAAATGGTAGTTGATGACGACCAACTTCCGGTTGAGCATAGCCAGGGTTTACCCCCCGTGGTTCCATTTGACAAGATTACTAGTTGTCACACTTATTTTTTGGTGGAAGCTGGTGATAAGGTGCCTCCCTCTGAGAGTGGGTTCGAATCCCGGGTGGTTGGGACTCATCACTGTACTTTACCGAGAAAGTGTGATTCCTAATATAACCCGTTACATCTGAACATTGGGCAGTCATACATCTGGGAGCTATATATGACGTATGAAGGTAAGAATGTAATGGTTTCAGCGATACTAGTTATGAATCTCCTGTGCACGATTGATACGGGTAAACAAAGGGAATTCTCTCGACTGTAAATGGGCGTCCCGGACAGTAATTAGTGATGATAGTAGTCCCCTTTGATGGGGGGAGTGGCTTATTGATTTTCATGCATTGAAAAATGAATGCAAAACCCGTGACCAGTTCAGCCAATCAGAATGCAGGACTTACAATGAACACAACGAAAATGTTATTATACCTCAATGAACCAAACAAATACAGTCAGTCCATAATAAAACCACACCTATGTCGATTAAACACTTTGTTGCAAAGATTATATTTTTATTTTTATTTAACGAACAAAGAATTTGCTGTTGTAATGACGCCAGGCATCATCAAAATGTGCGCATAACGTGCTCCATCTGGGGCGCTAAATATTGACGTATACAGTGGAAGGGAGACAACTCCAGTCGAATGGTATTAAAGCTAAATCGAAAGTGCCCGTATTTCCAACAGCTCATCCGCCATATTGAAGTCAGCTGTATACGTTTCTCTGGGTTCTGGTCGTTTCTAAGGAACAATGTCAACGCCAACATCGTCAACAGCAGCCAAAGCTGAAGCTTTGGTCGCCTCCGCTACTGGTGTAAGTGAAGAGAAGAAACCAGCTACAACAGCGCCTGATTACTCCATGTTCTCTACACCCAGCTCTCTGACTGACGTGGTGCTCGTTGTTGAAGGGAAGAAACTACACGTGAGTCAAGCTCTACTTTGTCTCGCATCCCCTGCTTTCCTGAAAATGTTCGAAGGTGACTTTAAGAACAAAACAGAGGTTCCCATCGCGGACAAGAAGTATGCAGATTTTGTTGAGTTCCTGTTGTGTATTCATCCGTCCACTTGCAAACCTGTCCAACGAGAAACACTGGACATTGTCCTGCCCCTTGCTGACGAGTACGAGGTCGAGTCTCTCATGCAACGGTGTGAGCAGTTTGTCCTCAATTTGTTCCAACTCAAAGATGCACAGCGATCAGATCCGTCTAATGTAGAACTGGTTCACTTTCTCTACCTGTCTGACAAGTATAAACTGAGTGCTCTTCTGGACGCCTGTGTTATCAAGGCGAAATACAGAACCTACGAGGGAGAACACGGCATCAAAACTTTGCGGGAATTTAATCTTCTGTCTGCAGATACCAAGTTTCGTGTACTGTCTGGAAGAACGAGTTTGCTTGAAGTAACTTTAACAGGTGTACAAATGTTTAAGCAACGATTGGATCATATTGTGACTCCTGAGTGTAACGGATGTTATGGTCCAGTGTATAACCATACCTCTCCAGGATGCAGAGTTCAGTTGAAATCCGACCTGTTAGCTTACTTTGACAAACTCACAAGTTACTTTAGGGAGGATCCACGCTATGTGGAAGTGTCCGAGGGTCGCAAATTGGCTGTGAAGCAGGCAAAATAAACTTTCCAAAAAATACGTTTTGAAAAGGTGCAAGATGAACTGGGAATATGTCATACGAGGGCTGTCTGGAAGAACGAGCTTGCTTGAAGCACCCTCAACAAGGTTACATGCTTGTAAGCATTTTTTTTTATTACATTGTGGTTCCTGATTGTCACGGATGTCGTCGACCAGGACTCAAGCATACTTCACCAGGATGCAGAGAACAGTTAAGATCCAAGCTGTCATCTTACATTGACAAACTCACAACGTATTTCAAGAGGGATCCACGCTATGACCCGAAACAAGCGGTACAAGATGCAAAGTAAATGGACATTTCCTAACAAACACGGTACATGGGGTACAAGGTTGTGTCTGTCAAGTGATGTGAATTGTTTTGTCCTGACCTTGCAGATTAATACAAACTGAAGTCAGTAATGTGTAGTCAAACTGAAATACCCACCTATGATGGACAACAAAGATGATGTGAACAGTTTACCTGAATCCCAGCGTCTATCATCGGATATTTAAGTTCAAGAAATGTCTGAGAGAATATGATTAATGGAAGAACCTTGTTGCTGCCATTCGAGAACCATAGCATAATTTAGACCAAATATCAAATCCTCAGTATTATGGGTGTCTTGAGAACTGATAAACGTTTCAACTTAGGCCTAATCGAGCAGGTTTAACCACCATTCCAAACTGTCTCTGCTCAATATGTGTAGGCACAACTTAGCCACTACCAAGAATTTCACGAAAGCGTCAAGATGTATCCGGCCAGTTAAAAAGATATACCTTTCAAAGGGTATGGATTTGTTCAGAAGAATGCTCTGCTATTGATGTCATGTATGCTACATTTGCTGGTGTGTTTTGTGATGTGCACAACAAAATTAAATTGCTGACTCTCAGCAGCCAGGAAGAAAATGGGAATTACAATACAAGACACACCGCTGCGCGAAGTGGAGAATGAAGAATCCAGTATCCAGCGCTCATCGTAAGGAGTATCGGTTGGCAAGATTTGGTGAGATGGCGTGGAGCGTTGTTCCTTATATCAACCCTTGGGTTTCCTGGGTATTTATACCGTATAGATAGGTACAGATATTGATCAAGTAGAGACTGCATGGAGTTACTATTTTCTCTCTCGCACAAATCACAGGGTACCATCAACACGTGTACATTATGTGCTCAGAACCTGTGGTTTTTGAACTTATGAAGCCTTATCTTGACAGTCCTTGTCAATCTTTCAGTTTGTTTAGCTTTTGTTGAGGTTTATATTATCCAGATGACTGGACTTGTTTGTTGTTTAACGCCGCACTCAGCAATATTCCAGCTATATGGCAGCGGTCTGTTAATAATCGAGTCTGGACCAGACAATCCAGTGATCAACAGCATGAGCATCGATCCACGCAATTTGGATATTAGACATGTGTCAGCGAGTCAGCGAGCCTGACCACCCGATCCCGTTAGTTGCCTCTTACGACAAGCATGAGTTACTGAAGACCAAGTCTAACCCGGACCTTCAAGGGGTGATGACCACTGAGACTACCCTTGCACAGCTGACTCTGTGTCCGTCTTGTTACCAAGACTTACTGAGTCATGTACACAGGACTACACAGGTTATAGTAAATTCCATATGTCCCTCACTGTATAATATACTGATAAAGACAAACTCGTTATGACAACGAGTATGGATGTACATACATGTAGTATTGTTATGTAGGGTAAAATGGGGTTTAAGTTCCACATGACAACGTGCATGCGTGTGCATGTATGGCAACTTGTACTAGCCCAGACTTAGGCTCACTTTACAGTGCTAGGTCACTGAGATACCATGCCGCAGTTATGCATGAATACCCCCTCTCATACACATTATCTTCCGAGCCGACCAGTCCTTGTTGTACCCATTCATACCGAGCACCAGGCAGGGACCTGTAGTAGTCCTACTGTCAACTCTTGTGTCCTTGTGTGTGGAATAATGTTTTCAGATGTGTTATGAGAATCTCTTATACACATATATATAAATATATATCTGTGGCAGTAACAGATTATGTATATTTTAACATATTGTAAACTGATTAGAATTCATGTAAATAAATGCTTTAAATTTCATTGCACAGCTTTAGTCATTTTATTTTATCATGATACTTAGCCTGCCTTAACTAACTATCACCCACAGCCAGTTCACTGAGCATGCTTACCGCATGTTTACCACACAGCACAATAACATAAGCCCTTCCCCACCTACGTCCTTTTGTCTTTATAGCCAGCTTGGGCAATCAGCTAAGCTTTACACTTTTACACATTACAAGGTTTGTGGTCACTCCACATTCAATTGTCAGATGAGCAACATTCCAAGTGGATTTTCTTAAAGGTCACATGCAACGTAAAACACAACTTTGCAGATTCTGATACCTTTCGGTATGGACTTACCAAAAAGAATCATCAAAAATGCAAATTCAACTTATAAAATTGAAAAAAAACGCGATGAAAAAAACCGCGCGAAATCGGAGTTCAAACGATTCACTAATTTTCCCCCGACTTTTCGGAGGGAAAACGGGTTTCAACAGCTGGGCTGCGCTCATAGCATGTGCGCAGTGAAATAGGTTCGCGCAACTTGGAAGCGGGCTGTCCGGTGAATACTCGGTGAAGGCTTTGGTGTGAGCTGTTTTCCTAATGTTTTGTTGATATCTCACAGGCGCGAGCTCTTTATATGTTATGACGGTAAATAAACTGTTTATATAATTTCATTTGTCTGTTTCACCACACGTTCTTCTTACCGAGTCACTTTCTCAGTTCGATACTTAAAGGTCACATGCACCCAAAAAATCAAACATAATTAAAACACAATTATCACTTATTCATGACATATAATATACATTGTAAACCAAAAGTCACTGTGTTCTTTAATCTGATTGGTTGAAAAACGTGATCAAAAGGTATTTGATTCCCGGAAATTCTCTGCGTATTAATACATAAAAACATCGCTCACACCATTGTATTGTTACGTCGTCAGCTGTGATGACGTCATTAAAATCATTAAAATCATTTGTGACGTAAAGTCCGAATGACGTCACAAATGAGCAGTTCCAGATGCTACCATGGGAGACAGCCGAAACGGCCGGCTGATGACATTTCACTGCTGTACCCGTACTCGATGTCAATGAGAGCAGACACAAAAAACGTGTGTGGACCTTTCGGTTTACTTTTGTGTTTACAATGTCGATAAACATCATGTGTTGGCGAATTTCCGGCTGACGCCGTCGGTTCCAAATGAATTCCCGTGCTTCAAATACTCAATAACACCCGGAAATTCGCCAACACATGATGTTTATCTCCTAATTGCTGGTTATGAAAAAACATATAAACAAAATTATAAGCGTACAATCGCAAATCAAAAGTGCAATATTGTGTACTTGGGTTTACTTCCCAAGAAACGAAGCAGCCGGGATACCGAACCCAGTCAGAGCGGGTGGGTGTGCACTCAAGTGTAACGGCTGGTTCATTAGCAGATGTCCTCACGGCTCATTGTGTGTGTATATATAGAGATGTTGGGTTTTGTAAATACATGCTCATTTTATGTGTATAACATTTTGCAATCAACAGACATCATAACATGTCATGTGTTCAACTATCACACCTGCCTGTCTGTGTAATTACATAATGTGACAGACCGAACTCGGGTCATAAATCAATGCGTTTTGTTTATGGTGTATAGCCTGATTGGTGTTAAGTTCAAATTGCATGTAGTCAGTGATCGCAGTTGTGTATTGAATATTGTCATTAGCAGACAGGCAGGCAGACACACAGGTGTCAATAAAACAAGACATTGAGTTTTGTCTGTGACAACGACATATCTATATCACAGTTAGAAATTGTGTCAACGCTAAATAATGACATTGCTTTTAAATTTTTGTGTGGAAGCTGCAGTGGCTGAGTGGGTTAGACGGCTGACTTTGTGTGCTGGCCAGTAGGCGCCTCACTCTGAAAGTGGGTTCGAATCCCGGGAGGATGAGAGACTCATCACTGTAATTTACTGAGAATCCCGAATTTTACATGTTACATTTGAACATATGACCTATGGCAGGTATGAAGGTAAGAATGTAATGCTTTGAGCAATACTGAAATATGAGTGAGTGAGTTAATATTTAACGTCACATCGGCAATATTTCAGCCATATAGTGACGACAAAAAGTTATGTACCAAGAATAAACGTATGTATACTTATTTAAAAAACCTGCCAGCGAAGGGCAGTATAACGACTAGAATATCACAAATGGATTAAAACTAGTTGAGTTCAGTGTAAAATGTTAAGTCATTTCAAAATAACACGGGTCGGTGGGGTAGCCTAGTGGTTAAAGCTTTCGCTCGTCACGCTGAAGACCCGGGTTCGTTTCCCCACATGGGCACAATGTGTGAAGCCCTATTCTGGTGTCCCCCGCCATGATGTTGCTGGAATATTGCTAAAAGCCAACAACAGAAGGTAGATCACCATGCTAGGCACCATGGGAACTTGCAGTATATTTGCTTCCTACATGGATCCTAGCTGGATTTACACCATCCCCTCAGCCGCTGGCGATGGAAGGGAAATTTAACCACAATTTAAAAGAACAAATATTCTACGTTTAAAAACCATGGTTGAGCTAAATTGACTTTGAAAGTTTTGGGACTTACGTACCCCTCAGGAGGACAATAATTTTACAATACTTTAACCCCCTTTGAGGATACAACCACTAACAATCGCAGTTTGCTAATTTATACTACCATTGATAACAAAATGACATTTATCTATTTATAAAACATATTGTTCAAAATTTATCTAATAATTCAATTTCTTTTAAAATTTCGATAATTTAATGATAATTTACATTATTAAAAAAGATCCTTCATTGTTTTGACACTGAAATATTTATCCCTTGTGATGGAAAAATCAATACAGCAGGACTGTGATTCCCTCATCACAAGGGGTGCAAAATGGAGGATCCTCACCTTCAAGTAAATACTCGTGTGTGTATAGAGAATGGCCAATACGGCATCGTCTTAGACCTCTTCAAATCTGGACTGACAACCCAAGTAGGTGTAACCAATAGTTGGTTTTATTGCATGTAATATATTGATACCTACTTGGGTGTCCTACTTCTTCTGCATAAGATCCCGGATGTAACTTCTTATAACTGGTTTATAATCACTGTAAGGTATCAGAAGTGGTGTCACAGATTTGTTGAGAGTGGCCTTTGCAGCAGAATAGGCCACTGTGTTACCAGTGATTCCAACATGGCTGGGCAACCAACAAAAGACGATGTCATATTGGCCAGTAGCAAGATCATTTTGCAATTCAAGTATTTCAATTAAAAGTGGATGTTTATATGACATATTCTACCATGACTTCAGTAAACACTGGATTGTGATTGGTTAATTAAAGTCATTCAGAGGTATATAATCACGTTATACAGGTCTCTGTTTTCCGTGCGCAATCATACATGGTTTACGGTAATGCACTATTTTTGTCTGCCCACTAGATATCTAACATGGCGGACACCAAACAACCTACCGATGCATCGATAAATTACGGCGATTTACTGTCGGAAATTACACATATGTCTTTAAAGATGGATTTAGCGATGACGGGCTCGACTCACTACTTGCGTATATCACAGCAATAGGTGTTTATACATACAAAAGTACTTCGAAAGCATGGAAACAAATATTCAGTCGAACAAGATCAAAACATCGTCTGCTTTCCGAATAAAAATTCAGCAAAAACAAATATGTTTACGTTGATTCTATGTTACGTCAGAATAGATCCAGCAATAGACTGCTACATAA